CAGGGCCACGGTAAATCACTCACAGCTACAAGCTTGGGCATCATCTTTCTTGCATGTCTGCTGTTCTTGTTGTTTGATTTATCCCTTCAAAGAGAAAACTGACAATGCTGAGTCTATGGCTACTCTATAAAAGATAGCTGCGGGGTGAGCTCCAACCTCGCCATAGAACAGAGGTCTGTATCTCCCCTCCTGAGGGGCGCTGGCCACACAGTTTCCAGAGCTGCTTTCTGTGACCTCAAGGAGGCAAACGCGGAGGATTGGGAAAGGGACCTTGTTTAACAGGAAGTTAATTAACACCTTCTCATTGCAGGAAGTTGTTAGTAATCAGCATGTTGGACATGCCACAGAGGAACAGTCTTGAGTTAGAAAAGTTGCTGCGAAGTTGCCCTGCTCTCTCAAGTCCAGCCTCTCACCACTGGGTTTCTGGTGGCTGCATGTGGGGGTAACCCTTTCTATCTCTAGAAGGTAGATAATTGCATTGCCTCGGAGATGCTAATCAGAGTGGCTCTCTGATCCCTGCCATTTCTCCCTTAGCTTCCCCTTTACCCACTTACTGTAAGAGATTGCCACCAGTGACTTTTGTGGTCCAACTTCTGAGACCAGTTTATTAAGAAAAGGAAGGCTGAAAAGCAGAGGTCAAGGGTGCCTGCCCTTAGAAAATTGCTCACCTTGTTTTTGGTGTGAGCAGAATGACTTCCGGTGCCTGTCTGCCTATATCTCTAGCCTGCTAGCCACTAAGAGTTACTTTTAAAAGTAGGGAGTTGTTACAAAGGAGTTTATGTGAGTGTCTCAAGACTTTGTTTTGTTGGGGAGTGTGGTTACTGGGTTTTAAAACCATTTCTGTGTCAGTCCTGGTATGGATGCAAAACAGGTCATTTTATTCATCCTTCTGGGCAAGAAGTACTACCTTTGAAGGACAACACGTGTCCTATTTGTGTGGTTCTGATAAGAGTGCAGAAGACAGACAACCTTACCAGAAGTTGAATATTTGCGACTAAAACCTGTCTCCAGGATCTGAATTGCTTTGGGGCGTTTGGAGCATTTTATTGGGAGCACACTTTGGAAGTGGATCAAGAAGGGGACAGGCTTGGAGCTCTTCACCATCACACTCAATGATTCCCCTCCAGAGGTCCAGGCCACATGCTAGACCAGTTAGATCAGAATCTCTGGGGATGGGATGGAGGCATGGCATTTTTTAGACCTCCTTGGGTGACTCCAATAAGAAGCCAAGTTGAGAAACACTACCTTGAAAAAACAGAAGGAAGGTGTGTTGAGTTTTTGTGGTTCCAAATGGTCCTTTTACACTCTATCAAGTTAGATTGACTGTGGCCAGCTCTCGTCCAGGTTCCCCTACAGAAGAGAGAGAGACACTGATGTGTTTTCTTAGCTTCAAAGCAGAAGAGACCCTCCTTTTCTGGGGCTATCGGAGGGTAGGAGGAATGCAGTAAGAAGTAGGAGCCTCCTTCATTGACACACTTAGGAAAAAGATGCTGCTGTGAATGCATTCAGAGGGTGGTTGGATCTGTTGGAAACAGAGGATTATGCCCCACTTTTTGTGGAAAAAAACTTTACAGAGCCTAATGACACCTGCATGTTCAAGGAGAAGTCAGCGTGGTCCAGTTTTTATCCCAGTAGGATACCTTTGGTACCTGTGCTTTCACCCTGTACTCACCGACTCATGACAACAGAATGCAAGTTGACTTAAAAGACTTTCCTGAAGGTTTCTGGGAGAGACAGAAGGAATAAGAAGACGACAAGCCCTCACCACACGGCAAACTTCCTGAAAACTTATTTAAACTTTCTCCATCAGACATATTTATTTTCCTTCCAAATTCAAAGCTCCTCTCTCCAAAAATCTCTTCTACTGTTCAGAGCAACGGTGCTGCCCTTCTGCCTTCATTCCCTACTGTGCAAAACAAACCCCTGATAGGAGCTTCATAACGCTACCTGTTATTTTTCAAGCATGGCCTTGCAGGGGACGAGGACCGAATCAGTTCATCTGCCACTGTGTCTATTAGGAATGTAGAAATATTTGGAAAGCACACGTTCATGGGGATCAGCCCTTCTGGGCTCCTGCTCTCTGTTTTTGGAACTCCAAAAGCCCACATTTCGTGGACTGCTCGCCTGGCACTGATTATCTACTGCTTTGCCTCCCCCTGTATGAAGTGTTTCCTCAAAGGGGTTGGAAGCACCTTGAGGATGTAATCACTCACCTCTTTGCACCCTCCTCAGAGCCGTACTCACACTCAGTACATACATTTATGGATATGCCCAGAGAGCATGGAAAAAGCCACTGTCTGAAGGTGTATCAAAAGAATCTAGAGACATGAAGAAGAGCACATAGTATATGAAACCAAACCAGAAGATGGGAAGATGACTATGTTGCCACATGCACCCTCCCCAAGAATGAGGCTGAATCTCTCCCTGTGTAGCCAAGTAGTGACTTGCACTTGCTTTGACACTTGTGGGCTTGGTGGTTGCCTGGTGGTTCCTGGCTGGCAGTGCAATACAAAGAATAAATAATGACAATGACAATAACAGAGGCTCACATTTGTGAGTATTGACAATGTGCTAGGTTCTACTCTAGGTGCTCTACGTGTACTAACGCACTCAGCTCCCTCCACAACCTTGACTGTGCGTGTGTCACCTTGCCCAGAGACACGCAGCTAGTAAGTGATGGGGCTGGACTTCAGACCCAAGTCTCCTCAAAGCCCGACATGTTCACTCACTGTGCTCTGGCATGCAAAGCCAATTATGCTTCCCACAAGCTTCCTGGCTAGTCGGAAAAAAAGAAAGTGCTGAAGACAGAGCCTTGAGAAGCTAGACAGACAGTTTAGATGGCAAAGCTGTGTGAAGGAGGCATTGCAGAAGCACTGTGAGTAGACTGACAGAAAGCCTGCATAGATATGGATAGAGGCATCCGCGGAGATTCAGAAATTACAAGGCTGGGGTCCAGAAGGGCGGGTGCGGGAAATAAGGCGGGGTCACAACGTTCAAAAGACCAAAAATAAAACCGAGAGAAACTTCTAGGACATAAATCTGCCCTAGACAGGCGAGGCAGAGGAAAAGAAAGGGCACATCCATTTTCAGGCCTGCACAGGTACCTCTGACTCAAAGTCAATAATTGTTCAAGGACAGGGGCAATGATGAATGATCAGAAGATGACCTGTATGTCCAGACAAGATGGGTGGTGCTGGGCACAATAGGGGATGATCCCAGTGTCACATAGGAATGAGATGAGCCCCTTTCTCTGGGGAGGGGATTGACTGCTGCATATACCCTACTGTCCATCCTCACTTACAGACATCAGTGGACCTGTGGGGGAGTAGATCATGAGCTCGGATGTGAAAGCTGAAGCAGAATTGATTAGGCTTCTGTGTTGTGGATCCCAGAAGGGACCAGATGTAGTTACAAAGGGATGCCTTGCCTGACCTTTGCTCTCTGACCTTGTTATGAACTTGTAGAAACAGCGTAGTGCTAGACTCACTAAAAACTCTCTCCATGTACCGGAGGCTGGTGTGTGCCAGTGTGTCCTCACCCAGGGGAGGTTGAATGGGCCATGCTGGGGATATCCTTGAACGACACACTGGATCCAGCAGAGAGCTGGGTCTTTGCACCTCAGCCTCCCATGTATGTGTCCACATTGTTGTCATTCAAAGCCACAAAGAGCAAACACTAAGTGAAAAGCAATGTAAATCTTCACTGGAGTCTCTTGAAAACACTGAAAGGGAAGTCCATTTGTGCTTCCCAAGAATGTTTCTCAACATCTCTTCATATATCACACCCATGGTAGCTGCCCCCAACATCTAGCGCCCTTTCTTTCAATCTTCCCCAAATTTTATGTAATTTATCTGTAAGATTCTCATCTTTCTTTCCTATTTAACTTTCACTTCCTGTAACTGTCTGCCCTTTCCAGTGACCTCCAACCTAGTAGCTTCAGCTAGTCCATTCCTGATCACACCAGCGTTACTGATGCCAGCAATTAAGGCCCAGAAGCCAAGGCTCCAGCAAGTCTCCTTTGGGGTAGAGGGAGGGTGTCAGAGCTGTGAAATGCATTTCTATGAGCTAGGAACATTCTTTTCTTTCCAAACAAGATTGATGGGCTCCCCTTCCACCTTTCCTATTTTGTGAGTAGAAATTATTTGTTTTAGGCCTAACCCAAATCCTTAAGGTAACTTGGCCTTGAAGCAAAGCTGATTCTGCCTGCTACACACTAGCTCACTAATTCCCAAATCCAGGGGCTGGGCACCTCAGACTCATATGGATGGGTTGTTAAATAGCACAGACTCTTGGGGGCCGGCCCGTTGGAGCAAGCAGTTGAGTGCGTGAGCTCCGCTGCAGCGGCCTGGGGTTCGCAGGTTCGGATCCCGGGCGCGCACTGACGCACTGCTTGTCAAGCTATGCTGTGGCGGCGTCCCATATAAAGTGGAGGAATATGGGCACGGATGTTAGCTCAGGGCCAGTCTTCCTCAGCAAAAAGAGGAGGATTGGCAGATGTTAGCTCAGGGCTGATCTTCCCCACCAAAAAAAAAAAAAAAAATAGCACAGACTCTTGGGCCTCCCTCTGGACCTGCAAAGTCAGAATGTAGGGGACAGACTGGAGAAATCTGTATCTTTAACAAGCCCACCACGTAATTCTGATAGTGGCTGTGTTTGAGAACCTGCTCTTACTTGATTAATAAAGGTCTGAATTGGCTTCATTTTTGTGTAATCCTTGTGTCCATGAAATAGATTCTTAAGAGACCATGCAGCTGACCTTGGGGGCCTGGGCTGTGGGTAGAAACCATAGAAAATGTGGGGGTCCAGGGAGTACAGACATCAGCGGGGTTGGAACCCACCTGTTTCACATAATCTTCCCACATCTATCTGGCTTCTTGTAAAATGTTAATGGCAATCTAACAGATTAGCAGTAAGCAAACTTACATTTTGTTTATTGCCGTGACTCAAAGAATGCTATTGGTTCTATCTAAATGTCTGTTTTTATGTTCTATCATTTCCAGGCATGAAAGTAACTCGAACAAATCCCAAGGCATAAGGAAATGGGCCTCGTTCTCTAGGACTCTGCGGCATTGGAAATGGAGCTAAGCAGACTTTATTACATCCTACAATTCTGCAACCTTTTGCGAAGCATTTTATTACACTTGTGGAAGCCATCGGGGTTATGTTTCAATCACGTTGACTGACAGGCTAACTTCAAAACAACGGCATCGACAGCCCTTCCACACTTCCTTGGCTATGTACTTAGAACAGAACCTTTTCTAAATTGTCCCTCGGCCTGGATGGAAATAAAATAGTAGTTAAAATATTTATCTTGTGTGTTGGCTCACTCAAAAATTTATATTTTGAGGCCTCTGAAAGGTACAACTGAGGAAGTTGATCTCTCAAAACTACTATGCCTCCTGTTAACCAAAGGTTTGTTAAGGCTGAGATAAGATTTAGAGAGTTTCCACTTTGGTAGGTAAGATAATAGAACAAGAAATGTACCACCTTTCCTCCATTATATTCTCCTCCTGCCTTGGGTGCAGAGAGGCAGAGATAAAAGAGCTTAAGATGGCAAAATTAGCTTCAGGAAACCAATAAACATGTAATGTGGTGATCGGACACCTGGGACTGGGCTGTTTGAGTGGTAGGAATGCAAGGAAAGGGAATGGAAAAGCTCTCAATATTGGTTTGGGGAGCAGGCCCCTTGCCATAATAGTCAGTTTCTTTAAGGGAGGATGATAGACGTAGGCTCTTTCTTTCCTCTGTTATGTTAATAAAAGGTGGGATTAGAGTTCATAGAGAAAAATAAAACACATCAATATCACTGCTACAAAGAACCAAAAGCAGTACTTTTCTTTTTCACAAAAAGAAATCCTTGAGAATCTCTTTTGGCATGTGGGCTTCTCCCTGACCCCAACACCATAACCAGCATATGGTGTGTTAGTTTCCTGTGACTGCTGACACAAATTACCACAAACTGGGCACTTAAAACAAGAGAAATGTGTTCTCTTACACTTCTGGAGGCCAGAAGTCCAGAATCCAGGAAGCCCATGCTCCCTCCGGAGGCAAGTCTCTTCTCGCTGCTAGTGGCTACTGGCAATTCTTGGAGTTCCTTGGCATCATTCCAATCTCTGCCTCTGTCTTCACATTCTTCCTCTTCTCTGTGTGTCTATCCTCCGTGTATCTCTTATAAGAACATTTGTCATTGGATTTAGGACCCATCCAGATAATCCAGAATGATGTCCTCAAGATCTTAATATCATTAACTTAATTATACCTGCAAAGGCACTTTTTCAATATAAGATAAAATTTACCAGTTCCAGGGAATGACATGGATATATCTTTTGGGAGAGTCACCATTCAACCCATGGCTTAGGAAATTTGGCCTTTGTTTCTGATTCAGTATAAGCCAACAGACTGAGGGTGACTAAATCGCATCTTGTTTCAAATCTTCTTCTATGTCTTTGCTAAAGCCCTACTTATTGACAATGATTGGCAATGCCTTCTTGAGACTGCGAACCCCTTTGGTTCCTAAGCCTAGTCTGGGATGCTTCTTTCTTAGCTGAAGGTAAAAAGCACTGCCATCTGAACCGAATGTGTTCAGAAGATAAAATGCCAGTGACGGAAGATGGCAAGTACTGGTAATTTCCCCCAGCTTAAGGGTTGCTGATTTGTGGTCCAAAGAAGAGCCCTGTAAAAACCAATTCTTCTTATCCCAGCAGGTCAAATACTGATTCCATCTCAGTTTTAATAGCAAATGTCACCAGAAGGCCTGGTCCCTGCCTTCATGGCTAATTCCACATTTCATTCATTGGCTTTCAATCAAGGAAGTGAACCAACACTTAGTCACTGATGAAACAGTTAAGTAATACTGCAAGTCTACCTGCAATTTTGTTATCTATTTTGTCTATGCAATTAAAACTCTACAGGAGCCTCATTTCCACCTGTCCTCCCGTGGATTTCCTCAGGTCAGTGTCTTCCTGTAACTCTGCCATGGTTTGGAGGCTGTGGAGGCTGTAGATGCAGAAGGCCAGCCTTGAAGCTCTACTTCCATGCCAGCCCTGTGAGCCCATGCTTAGCTGGAAGGCATGATAACCCAACAAAGACTATTTACAGTGCCTGTTAAGAAATGTTTCAAGAACTAACAAAGCTTACTGATACCAATATGGGAAAAACCAACTATTACTCCATTTACTAAAGTGGGTCTGGTCTGCATTGAGAAATACAAAAGGCAGTGGAGAATGATGCTTAAGCCAGAACAATGTCCCCGGCAGTAGCTGTCTTTTTCTCTCTGATTTCTTCCTGGGGACAAATACACACTACATTGTTTCTATTTTGCTCAAGAACTAGAGAGTTGATAATTTTATGGTAAAAAAATAGATAACTGTGTGTATATAGGGGTCCATTTCTACTATTGTGCTTGTCAGACAAAAACAGCACAGCAGCCACTCTCTCTATTGACAACATTCTGGAGGAAGTTGTCTTCTGTTGATCTTGAAAATTATACTCACTTTTCAAACTCAAGGCCCATTCCTTATCTTTATTGTTCCACCTGCAATCAAAATCCAAATGGTGGAAGAGAATGATACTCTATTTTTGGCAAGGAGCTTGAAAGGACCTTTCGCCATGATTGTCTTCACCACAGCTGACCCAAAGTTCTAGAACAATACTTCTCAAACTCCATCAATTATTCCAGTTGGTGAGAAGGAGCTGTGTGTCTCATTGAACAGAAACCTCTCCCCATCCACCATTCTCTGTATCCAAGCTTGAAACTAAGGTCTGGGCATGGACTTACTTCTTCCAATGGTCTGTATCTGTTGAGTGTACCTGCCCAACATGCTGGTGAAAGGAGACCAACTTTTGTTGTATATTTATTGTAGATACATTTGCAAATGTTATTTTATTTAATCCACTCAAGATATCTCTATAATATATATATAGAAATTTAGGCTCAGAAAGGTTAGGTAACTTGCTCAAAGTCACAAAGTTGATAATAGGTGGATCTGAGATCAACTTGGATATGAGTCCCCAAATCTGTGCTCTTTGGAAAAGAATTGACAACCAAGGACTCTCAGCAAATTTAATAAATACCACTCCCAGTTTCTCCTGAACTGTCTGTTGAGTTGGCAGGTTGGTCTTTGTACTGATGTTCAAAGGGAAAGGGGGAGGTATAGTTAAGGAAAGGCAGGGAATATCCAGACATTCTCAAGGTGAAAGCATCCCTTTAATCATGTAAATGAAGGCAACTAATGGCATTTCTATAACTTAATAACATATGGGAAGGGTGTTACTAAAAATGCTTACTATGACTGTGAGGCAAATGTGTTAACCAAAAGGTTAATGATTACCTATCTGAGAAATAAAACAACATAAAATAATTAGCATGTAATTACTTAATTATACGGATTGAAAACGGGTCAGTCTTACTTGGAAACACTCCACCAACAGCCCTCAAGCACGGTCACATGCTTGCAGCTCACTGCAGTTCTGAAAACACCTTCGTCACCCACTATGCATCTACTGGAACGCTATGGTCCAGTAGGAAAGCAGCCTAAAGTGAGGTGGCCCCTAAGGTGTAGCTGGAAAGTGGAGTCACCATGGATTGCAGAGGGAAGAGGAATGGGAAAAGCAGGGCTAGTTTCAGCAAGAATATAGGCCCAAATCTAGGCACCTAGAAGATTTTTTTCTGAATCCCTTCTCCTTCTTCCTCCTCCTTCTCCTCTTCATCATCATGATGATAGACAATATTCACAGAATATCTTTGTACCAAGCATTATGCTAGGCGTTTTCAAAGCATTATTTCATATAAGCCTCACAAAAATCAACCAATATTCCTTCTTTCCTTTCTCCCTTCCTTTTTATTTTATCTAACAAATATTTATTCAACACCTATTGTGTGCCAAGTATTGTATGTACTAGGTTCCAGGGCTATAGTGCTGAGCAAAAACATCTGGAAGTAACTATTGTCCTCCTTCTGTAGATGAGGAAACTGAAGTTTAGAGAGGTTGTGATTTGTCTTAAGGTCACACATTAGTAAGAACACATGTCTGTGTTCTGAAGCCTGGGGCTCTCTCCCCTAAGCCCTGCTGTTTCTCAGAAGGTAGGACGAGAGGGCACAGTGGATGCTCAATGGGCTAACTCCTGGTTTTCTCTACAGACCAGACTCAATAAACATACCTACTTTCTGGGCCGGCACCGTGGCTTGGCGGTTAAGTGCGTGCGCTCTGCTGCTGGTGGCTGGGGTTCGGATCCTGGACGTGCACCCACGCGCCGTTCTCCGGCCACGTTGGGGCTGCGTCCCACATACAGCAACTGGAAAGATGTGCAGCTATGACATACAACTATCTACTGGGGCTTTGGGGGAAAAAATAAATAAATAAAATTATAAAAAAAAAAATACCTACTTTCTCAGGATCAAAATTAGCTGGAGAAACTCAACCTAGGCCACTAAAGTTCAATCTTTGTCAATTTAATGAGCATTTACTAAGTACCCTCTGTGTGTCCATCCTGGAGGGGGCTCTCTGAGAGTGACTGAGGCTTCCCTGTACTCTGTATTTCACCCTGGAAAAGCTCTACTGTCCTCTCGCTTTTCGACAATATAGCAGCATTTTGGTCTCTGAGCATTCTGTCCAGTCACCTTAGCCTGAGGTGAACATCTCCCTATCCCATGCTGTTCTTAAGGAAGGATCTGGAATAATACTCCCAGATTCCCAATGAGCCCCATGCTGCTGGTCTTTGGTCACACTGTAGTAAACTGACCTCCCGTCCAGGTTGCTCAGGTCTCATTCACTCACCCTTGTAAGTTTCTTTTCTGCCACTCTCCTTTTTCTCCTCCTTCCCTCTTTTTCTTCTCTCTGCCAGAATGTAGGTCCACAAAACCAAGTCCATAACCTTGAGAGACAGTCTAAAGCAGTGGTTCTCCATCAGCATCGCTGGAAAGGCTTGTTAAAACTGATCGCAAGCCCCGACTTCCAGTCCTGTAGGTCTGGAGTGGGGCCTGCAGTGTTTGCAGGTGATGCTGATACTGGAGGGTCAGGGCCCACACTTTGAAAACCGCTGGCTTAAAGGGAAAATTTTTTTTTTTTTTTTTTTTCTGTAAGTAAACAGAATTTGTTCTCACTGCAGAATCCAGCTTGTTTTTCAGGCCCTGCATTTAACATATCTTAGTCTAGAGGTAATGAACTGCAAGTTAATTCCAACCAGACCACTCAAGCATCTCCAGTAGGTTTTTAGAGTTATTTAACACCACAGAAGACTTCTTGTCTAGGCTAATTAAGTGATTAGTTTAGATCAATAGCAGATGAACAAGGGGAAAGGGGGGCAGC